TCAATCCTGAGCCGGTGAGATTTGAACAGCCGAACTGCAGAACTGCAGTCAGCTGAAGTAGCCTGCAGTGCTGCATTTAACCACTGCGCCACCTCAGCTCTATTGCACATGCACATCCCATCTAGCCATATTTGGTTACATTCAAAGACTCATAACAATATATGTCTGGTAAACAAGTCAGCGGTTAAGCAGGCAGATACTATGTGTGCACTTTAGATAAGCGGATATAGATATCCCATTTCAGTATATTTTGGATGCAGACATCCTTTATGCTGACACAACAGTCCACATCTCATTACAACATATCCTAAGAGCAAGCTATGCAGTTTATAATCATGCTTAATATTATGAGATCCAAGTTTGGTTCAGGCTTGAGGCCTATTCTGGTCAAGCTAGTACTTGTTCAACATTTAAGATGCTTTCTCTTCTTCCCCTCCCGACCTTGAGTTTTCCTATAGAGATTGTTTTGAACTGATTTTCAACATCATATCAGAGATTCAGAATAGCTATGAAAATAACCTCAAATCCATTTATTTTGAATCTGACATATTTTGTTGATGTTGGCTTCTGAAGTTCAACTTATTAGAGGAGAAAGCTCTCAGAATCTAAGCTGAGATGTAGTATGGAAGCTATATATTTTTGATAGTTATAATTTATTTCAGATGTACCAGTTTTCGTAGAATGATGTTCAGTAATTCCAAGCCATTATTTTCAGCAATTCTGGCTTATTGTTATATATATAACAGATGGATAACTTTGGGCCAGTCACTCGCTCAGCCCAATCCACTTCATAGGTTGTATGATAGAGAAAAGAATGAGATGGCAATATTATATATAATATATCCACTTGAATTAATGGTGATGTACAGTATAAATCTGTAATATTTCTATTTTGTGATAGCAAGTGCTTTTTTTATTTAATGTTTTGTAGTGCTGCTGGCTCATTTTAAAAACACTGTGGGAGGAGGCAGTAACATAAGATAAACATTACCCCTTCTCAAGGTTGTTTTAGATTTAGATAAAATATTTGGGTGTACCACCCTGTGTCAAACTGTGCTGTGATAAAAACTATAGCCACAACAGCTCCACTGCTGTTTTCTCTCTGCTTATCAAAGAGAAAAGTATTTCTGGAATTCAACTTGCTTTTATATTAATATGAAGACAGTTGTACATCTACACATTCCTTTCTTTTATGTCTTCTCCTATCTTTTTGAAATAGTGAGAGTAGAGAATATGCTTCTTGTTGTGCCACATAGGCTTCAGATATATAATGGAATTTCAGTTATATTCTTACATACCCATAGCAGGAGAATCTTCTGGCAATTTTTCCCAGCAAATGATACATAACTACAATGTCTTCTGAACAGTGGATCAATTTATTTCAAATTCATCAATAGATCTATGTTATTAAAGTTCTGGGAAAATTTAAAAAAAATCAAACTAGGTTTTCACAGATATTTAGTTTAATTGCTTAAACTATGATCTTTTTGCTTATAGTGACTAGATGTTTGATTTGAGTCCACATTAAGGCATTGTAGAGTTTTCTAGGGTTAAGGATTTTTTTTTTACTTGTCTAATGCTATGATAAGTGGAGAAGAAAGCATTCCCTATATTAATTCGGAATACCAAAGTTTTCTAGGCAGGTTTTCCTTGGTTTTGCAAAAATGCAGAGTCTGACCAAACAATGTGTATGTCTTGGAACAGAAATCAGCCTTCAGTAACGTAGCCCAGTGACTAGTACATAATTAATGAATGAAATGAAAAAGTCTAACACAAAGAAAGAGATATCAGAATGATTCCATTCCAAGACCAGTGACATATATCATTGGCATGAAGTTGCAGAGAAGATATGAGAAATGAGACCCAGTGATCAAAAAATAAACCCTCGTTCTCATAGATGATGACATAATGGGATATGATTATTGGAAGACAACATTACGGAGAACTAAAGAAAATTACCTGTCTTAGGGTCTCCTTCCCCAGTACAGTATAGTAATGACAAATGCACTGTCGGAAAAATTGAAAGACCAAGTTAGGGGCAGATTATGATGGAGCAAATCTGTTTGGTCACTAAAGTTCATCCCAAAATTGATGGCATGATCTTTTAGTCAGTTATGATCCTCCAGAGATTACAAAACTTCAATGGAACGAAACATTTGTGCTCTCACTTTCCCTCATGCTCATTCCTCTCCTCACGCATTTGACTCGTACAACTAGAATTGGTGATGCGTGTCTAGCTCAGAGCATGGAGGTCTTCAGTCTGACAGAGAATCTGGAATGTTTTGTTTCACATATTTTTCAGTTTGGCAGTTGCTTGGCTAAATTGCCCGACACAATTCAAAGCTGTCACTGTAAGATGTTTGTCTTTCCAGTCAGCATCCTCATTTTACAAGGATCTGTTTTCCTATTTGCAGGCGTTTGATATGCCAGTGATAAGATGTGAATGTCCAAAAAATTATTTCTTGAGCTCTTTCGTTGGTGTTGGTTTTGTTTTCTACCCTTATTTTCTGTCATTATGTATTCTAAAATGTTAACCTTTTCAAAGTCATTCAATATACTGGGCAGTGGGGAATATTATGAGTAATTTTAATAAAATTATACAATGCTAATATTGATGTTGATGCCATGTTTAAATTGCTAATGGCACTGTATCTTGTTGGAAGTTAATTAAAATATAAATCGTTCATTAAATTATGCAAACATATCCAGACAAGCATATTGAGCATATCTCACATATTACTATATACACCTGTGTCATAATAGTTTATTTCAGCCCAATAAACACTTTTCTGAGAACCTGTTCTTGCTGCTAGTACAGTTCCTTCTCTTTTGTGTTACAAAAGTTTGTCACTTACACTGTGACTTTATATTGATGTTTAGTTTGTAATTTTTCCTAAATGAAGAAATAAGATTTCTTATACAATATGGCATCTTTTAGCAATGATTAGGAGAGGGTAGCCAGAAGCTATTTTAGGTAAGAAATACAGGCTTGCCTAATTTTTTAAAAAGCTCAACCCACCAATTTCTCTTCAAAATTTGTACATCACTCTCTCAGAGGCTGTTTACTTCTAGCTAATATTGTAATTTATGGCCCTCAAGTAGCAATATGATTTTGGGAGTTTAGCAGTTCAAAGCAGTTAATTTAATAGAGTAAGCCTGAGCCATAAGCGTTGCTTATTGAATATTTGCATTGTGCAATAATGTTGTCAAGCTGAAACTGCTACTTTGTTGGACAACCAGAAAAAATAACCTGCCTTTTTCTCAATAATATGACTTTTGTTACCTGTTTAAAAGATTTCTAGATTAATCACAATTGTGAATAATACTTATTTTTTAATTACCCAGTATATGCCAAATGAAAACTATTGGATGGATGCTTGGGACATGCCACAGAATCAGTTTCCAGAGGGAGCCCCTCCATGGTGGAACCAACACCATCCAGAGCAAGAGGGGTATGTTACTTCTTCAGCTTATATTATTTAATTACATCTTTTTTTTTCTAGGTAGTTTTGATTATTGTTTTAAAAAACAGCTACTTTCAATTTCTTAAAAATAGCAGAATAAAAAGCAATAAACCATAAATAAATAAAAGCCACATAGCACTATTTATTTAACAAGCATGGGCAAATAGTTATTCACTAGAGCCGGGATGGCGAACCTATGGCATGCGTGCCACAGGTTGCGCACGGAGCCATTTGTCAGGGCACGCAAGGCGTTGCCCTGTCAGCTGGCCAGTGCACATGCACATGCTGGCCAGCTGAGTTCAGCCTTTTTTAAAGCAATTTTTTGCCCTTCCCAGGCTCCATAGGCTTTATAGCCTGGGGAGGGCAAAAAGAGCCTCCTCCCCCCCGAGGCCCTATGGGCAAACCGGAATTTCGGGAACAGACTTTTGGTTTGCTCATAGGGTCGTTTTTAGTCCTCCTGAAGGTTCCTGAAGCCTCGGCAGGGCCTCCGGGGGGCAGGGGAGGCTGTTTTCGCCCTCCCCAGGCTCCTATAAAGCATCTGGAGCCTGGGGAGGGCAAAAAAAGCATGTAAAAAATAGGGGGAGCACCTCTCATGCCCACATGCGCACTGGGGGGTGTCGCACGTTGCATTATGGGTGTGGCACACCGGTGCACAACCCCCCCTGCGCTCCCCCCCTTATGGCACGCGAGCCAAAAAAGGTTCGCCATCGCTACACTAAACAGTGTCTATGAAGATCCTTAGTCATCCAGGTCATGGTTGTCCCAAAGGTGCTTTTTCAAGAGGCAATTGGACTTTCTGGTTTTTCTTGAAGACATTTTGCTTCTCATCCAAGAAGCTTCTTCAACTCTGACTGAATGGTGGGGAATGGAGGGATTTATACTCCTTGCAGACAGCTGGTAATTTGAATTCTTTTAGAAGGTCATTAAGGTCACCTGGAAGTTTATCTGTGTCATCAGGGTCACCTGAGTGGTGCAAATGTGTCTGGAGCCACCTTGGAACTGTTGAAAGGACTGTCCCTCTGTTGAGAGAAGGCTGTTCAATTTTGACATTGATGGCCTCTTTAACCTCTCTTTTAAATTAGCGTTTCTCTCCATCCATAATATAGGCTTTGTTGTCTTCAAAAGAGTGGCTTTTGTCTTTTAAAATGCAAATGGACTGCTGAATGTGTTTGTTCTCCTATGTTGAGCCATGCGTTTATGAAGTAGTTGTTTTGTTTCCCCAATGTACAGATCTGCACATGGCTCACTGCATTCTACTGCATATACCCTGTTGCTCAAACACCCAGACAGAAACTGAGCAATGTGGTATAGTTCAAGAAACATAATCTCTACCATATAGAAAGAATACCATCGATCTTGTATAAGAACCATTATGTGTCAAGTTGAAAGGCATCATTTAGTGAGTCTTCCAGAAAAAGACATTTAGTAAACATTTCTGAACTTCTAGTTTTTACTTCTAGTTTTTAGTATACATAATTGGGAATAGTAGTAAAAGTTTGGGAACAAATTATGAAAATGTTAAAAGAGAGATTGTAAGGATTTTTCATAATTAATCTGAGAGGAACTGTGAACACAGTAATCTACACCAAGAAGATCCTATAGTTCCAAGGCTTCACAAACTCCACAAACAGGAGACTCCCTAAAAAAAGGAGTCTCCTAGAGGCTGACAACCAAAGTACCTGCTTGCAGAATAGCACAAAGTTACCATGAGACAGGCAGCATCTGTGATAAAGCTGAGCCTTGCATCACATCAATTGGGCACCTCTGTAAAAAACAGAAAGATAAGTTGCTGCTGGTCCATGGAGCTAGCTGAGCAGCAGGCCGAGTCCTGGAAGTATTTGGATGGATGGAAAGTAGGCTGAAGTTTATGAGCTGCAGCTGCCCTGTGTGTTTCAGAAGAGTCTGCTGCTTTAGACTCCCTTGGAGGCTGAGTGCCCAGGTTGGGAGTAGCCTGAAGCCTGTGAGGACCCTGAGGGACAGAGGGAAGCCCTTGGGTGGCTGGATGAGAGGTAGGCTGAGTCCTATGAGCTGCAACTGTCCTTTGTGTGCTGTTACCACCTGCTGCCCAACTTTGGTCTCCCTTGAGTGCTTCGTTGGCAACAGACCAAGGCCTGCAGGAATCCGGTGGGATGGGTGGGTGAGATAGATGGGAGAACGCTGCAGTGTCCCTGAAGTCAGTCATATGAGTGAACAACTGCGGAAAAACTTCAGTGGTCATAACTTTGAAACTGGTTTATAAGTTGCTCTTGGAAGAGCTGTCATAATTTCAAACGGTTGCTAAATGATTGGTTATAAGTCAAGTGCTACCTGTATTTTTAAAAGAAATGAAGGCAAGTACTGTAGAATGAGGCCTATGTTTGTTTGTACTTCTGCAGGCCCTACAATGTCGGTTTTGATAACTACACCCAAAGTTCCTACCCTAGGCGTCCTTACCGTGGTCATCCTTATAGAAGATTTAAAAAGACCTCATCAAAAGGTTTGTGAGAGTTAAAAGAATGGTACATACTCCAAGCAAAAGAGAATTGTAGTAGGATTAAGAGACTACCAAGCCAAGCGGTGCAATATAGGAAAAGTTTATTGAATGCGCAGGTTCAAACATGCCAAACAAGCACAAACGTTTGAACCCCGAAAGGTTCTTAAAGACATACATTTATAGTGCAAATTACGTAAACATCTGTAGAGGCAGTATCTAAGCATATAAGGTAATAAGAGGAACCAAAAATGTCTATGCCAGATGGCTAACAGTTACTATTCCAAAAATATATCCATGGTCAGCACATTATAGATCATGTGTGACATATAGGGAGGCTTAGAGAAGCAAAACCAGAAACATCTTGCAGAATAACAGGAAACTCCCTGTCTGGGTTTGCTTGTTCCCAGATACATAAAAATACTTACTGACACTTCAGCAACTGTTTTCTACTAATGATGCAAAACCTCGACTCTGATCAGAATATTTGATATTGAATATTGACTATATAACTTTGGCCATAATTAGGTCTATCAGACTACCTTAGAATGAAAGAGGAGGAAGCCTCCAAATGGTACAGAAAAAGTAGCTTATGAATAAGTATAATCACTAACAAAATATATCATTTATATCTGTCTGTCTGTCTGCCTGCCTGCCTGCCTGCCTGCCTGCCTGCCTGCCTACCTACCTACTGAGTCAACCATGGCTCATTTAACCATGGATAAGAATGTAATGAAAATAAACAAGAATCTGTAGACAATGTCAAAGAGGATAAATGAAAATATAAATTGATCTTTATAGAAATCTATTTACCAAATACGTAGCAGATATTGCCTTAAAACCGGTAGGTGTTACAGCACATGGTCTAATAGACTGTCCATTATTATTTCCATGATTTCTCAATCCAAGATTCAATTTTTTTTAAAAGTGCCAGCAATCTCCTGTTCAGGAAAGCAGCACTTACGTTTTAAGGGAGGAACCTTCCTTTTCCTGGTTCCAGTATAGTAGCCAAAACAAACGGCAAAATTTAAATCTGTTTCTGGATGGTTCCCCTCCTCTACTATATTTAACTTTTAGCACAACCATAGACATGTGCATGACTGAGACCTCAGTATTCTTTCAGGTACTCTGAAAACAATAATACTGTAAAACAAAGCTTTTCCAAATGTTTGTCTCTTACTTCATGGAATTCATTGGAAACTTCCTAATTTCATTTAACTGTTTCTCTTTCTGCAGGAAGAGGTAATTTTCAAAACCCATCAAGTTCTCGCTTAAACAATGTGCAGGTAAGAAATAAATAATAATTCTTCTTCAGGAACTGTGTGTATTTTTACATCAAATATATTCAGACAATTTCTCATATGTACATTCATGGATATCTGGGGAGGCAAGGTGAGCAAATACTGAGATATGCATGATAATACCATACTTTTGCCATGATTTACCATATTTTTCGGAGTATAAGATGCACCTTAATTTTTCGGAGGAAAACAAGAAAAAAAAATTTTGCCTCTGCCTATCAGCATCCATTGGCATTCATCTGGCAAGCATCCTTGCAGCAAACAGACCGAGGCAGCAAAGGCGCAGGGGGCTTGCTGGGAAGCCCGGCAACATGTTTATGAGATGGCAGCATCCAGGAGGACTGAAGTGCTGCCTCTCTATCACGCCTTGCTGTGAGAAAGCCAGGCTTTCAACGCCTACGGCTATAGGTAGAAAGATGGGGCTGTATCGGGAGTGGAGCCTTCGGTGCCAAGTCCCTCTTCTGCCCCCATGAAAATCATCCCCCACCCTACCCCCTCCAATTAAATATGCGTAGGGTGATAGGGGTTGTTTTAAATAAAAAGATCTGTGCTGCTCATTATCAAAATCCGAGTGGAAATAAGGATCTCTGCTTCCTGGAACCACCCAAAAATGCAACATGCGGAGGTCGAAAATATCCGAAGGTTGGGGGCTGGTGGGTGGGTGGGGCTACATTTGGAGTATAAGACGCACCCAGATTTTCACCCTCTTTGGGGAGGGAAGTGCGTCTTATACTCCGAAAAATATGGTATGTACATATCTTAAGTCTCATTATGCAATTATATAATTACAGTATTTGCACCTCATTTTGATGTAGTGAAGTTTGTTGTGGACACCGTTGTATGCCAGTTGGAAAACAAGCAATCTTTTGCTCTTACATGAAGGAAAATACAGTGCTGGTGTCTTAGTGAGGAGTACTCAAAAAGATACAAACAAAGACAAATGCAACTTAAAGATACTTATAGTATTATAATGGCAGCTTGTGATCATTAAATAATTGTTTAGAGCAATTACTATTGCTTTCTTAACTACTTCCCTGTTTCTGTGCCTCAAATAATTATGTGTCTTAACGTTTAGAAATTACAAGCACAGCCAAATAGCTATTTCACTTAATGATGCTAGACATAAAGGCCTAAGCAAAAGAGATTTCAGGTAGTCCTTGATTTACAACCATTTGTTTAGTGACGTTCAAAGTTACAGTGGCACTGAAAAGGTGACTTAGATCAGTCTTTGTGCTTAATATCTTTTTTCACCTGTTTCTCACTCTTACAATTGTTGCAGTACCCTCTGGTCACATGATCAGAATTCAGACACTTGGCAACTAGCATGTATTTATAATGTTTGCGGTATCCCAGGGTCATGTGATCACCCTTTGCAACCTTCTGACAAGCAAAATCAATGGGGAAGCCAGATTCATTTAACCATCATATTACTAACTTAAAAACTGCAGAGATTCACTTAACAACTGGGGCAAGAAAGGTGGTAAAATGGACAAAATCTTGTTAATAACTTGTCTTAACAATGGAAATTTTGGGCTCAGTTGTGATCATAAGACATACAGCCATTCATTTAGTGACTGTTGGAAGTTACAATGATGCTGAAAAAAGCGACCTACGATTGGTTCTTGTACATATGATATTTCAGCATCCCTATAGACAAGTGATCAAAATTTGAGCACTTGGCAACTGGCAAGGATTTATGACAGTTATATCCTTAACGGGTCAGGTGGTTGCCACTTGCAACCTTCCCAGCTGGCTTCCAACAAGCAAAGTAGTGGGGGAAAACAGGATTTGTTTAACGATCATGTAATTCACTTATTTGTAGTGGTTCATTTAACAACCATGGCAGAAAAGATAATAAAATCAGGTGAGCTTCACTTAACCTCCTGGCTTAGTAATGGAAATTCTAATACCAATTGTGGTCATAAGCCAAAGACTACCTGTATAGTTGTAGTGTTTACGAGAAAGTAATGGTGTGGAAGCACATAGTGGTGCAATCTACTTTTTCTCTGATAACCTTATATAAACTCTATATTATCCTATATCACCCATTATTGTTTGCCTTTGCACTCTGTATTTCGTTTGCGTACCTACTAGCAGCTTTACCTTGTACTGACCTTGATATATACACCCAGTTGCCTCAATCAGGCCAGCTTCAAAGTTGACACGCATTTTATCTCCTAGACTTATGCTGTTTATCTTGTCCTTATTATTATGAACAAATGTATGACGCCAAAAGGAAGGATGAGTTGATAGATGCCAAGAAAAAACACATTGTTTTGGGCAGGCAATCAGATTAATCTCCCTCACTTACGAAAACATATGTAAGCCAAGAGCAGCTAGGATGGGATGGGAATTCCATTGTAGAACTACCTGGGAAGTGCAGTGTTCCAGCTGGTATGAGAAAGGATCCTTTTTACAGTTCCTGTTAGCAGGAAGGACATATGGGTATACATTCTTTTTAATCAACTTTCAAACACTTTTTTCTATGACTGTGTTTATTGTCTTGAATCCTAAATCACCTATCTGGTCATTAGGTGCCAGAACAATAAAAAGAGAATGTCTATATATAATAAATGTCCATCATGTGAGACTCTTCTGTTGCAGCCAAAGAAAACATTTGCGAAAGTGAAAAAACAGGCAGAAGATTCCAAGAAATTTAAACAGGACAAGGAAAATACTGCAACTTCAGTGAAAAAAGATGTCCCATCCAAGGTAATAATAAGAAAAGATTTAGAATATTTATATAATAAGATTATGAGCTTCCAAACCATAAAAAGATGTTGGCAATGCTAACTTCTATACTTTGTCCTTAAACAATTTTTTCTCAACCGTGGCAATTTAAGATGTGTGGACTTCACATTTTAAATTCCTTGACAAAGTAGATTTTAATTGGATGCATAAAAATATAGGGAGAGATATTCCTTAAGGCATTTAGGTTCAAAATTGTTCAGTTCTTTAAAAGTAAGCTCTTGTATCTTGAACTGGCTTGAAAACAAGTAGCTAATCAGTGCTGCCTTTTAAAACTGGTCCACCCTGATTCTTCTTGTCTGTGTAACTAGAGGTTAGTTACTGCATACAGTTCTGTGCATATTAAAAGCTGCTAGGATTTCCAGGAATAGGCATAGCATAGGAATAACACGATGAAGGAGGAGAGATGGGGAGGGAGAGGGGAGGGGAAGGGGATTCAGTTCGAACCATAATTCATATTCAAATATATGTAAAGTTGTTCAGCTTCAATTTTTTGAATCCTTTTAGCATATTAGTGACTGGTCAATAATGTAATTTCCATAGAAAATTGTAGGGTTATTACAATGCATCATCTGGATGGTTCTTGGAAATGCGGTTACACGTAATTGCAAACTTCAGCAATTCTTTGCTTGCAGTGTTCCCAAGCATGTACAAGGACACAGGATGACAGGATGAAACAATGTATAACCTGTAACATTTGTTGCTTGAATGTATAACATTTGATTCTTTCATTGTGTGAGAAAACATGTATATTCTCACAAACACCAATGATGTAATTACTAACCAATTACTGTACCTTGGAGATTTGTTAACCAATAATGAAATAATGAAATAACGTAAAGTAGGTGAGAACTAAGAAACTGAAAAGCTATATAAATCCTGTCTGATGCTCAATAAAGTTGCTGTTGATTCTAAGCAGCTATCAATAAACTGCTGTTGATTCTGCTATCCGTGGATTGGTTTCCTTTCACTCATCTTCAGCCTTCGGGGACAAATGCAACAGAAAATTTCTCAAAAATTGGTCATATATATTGAAGTTTTATGCACTGGTGATTTCAGTTTTAATTTAGAGGGGGGGCCTCTCTTTTCCTAGTAAAAAGACTGCATTTTGTTCTTAGGGAAAGAAGGTTTGCTTTTAAAATCTTCTACCTTCTAATCTAAATAACTGCTGCAGGTCAAACCAAAAGATAGTCAGCCTGATGAAGAGTCCCCTAGACAGACTGACTCTGTTGCATCTCCTGAAGCTGTTGCAGAAGAAGAATCACCATCTGGAATAAAAAAAAACAACCCTCACACCCAGAATGAAGATATTGTATTGGTATGAACCATTTCTTCCTTTTATATATTCTTTTGATGAGATTCCCTGTGATAACACTGTCATCATGTCTTATTAACTCTGGTTGCATGTTTCTTTGATTTTGTGCTATGAATATTTGTATTTTGCTTTATTTTCTCAGTATTTCTGACAAAGTTATTTAACTTCTTGTAGATATGGAGTACAATAAACATTAGAATTTTCTGATTCCCACAAAACCTATTTGATTTTTAGTTGCTACTACTGTGGTATACATCTTCATTTTCTTTAGAAGATTTCTGATCTACAGGTGTAGTTTAGTTAAGCATAAACTGTGTGTAGAATTTAAACAACAATATTCATTAATATTGGATTAGTCATTGTTTAATTTGTATTAAGCACTTGCATCTTCCAAAGTTAGAAAAATGCCTGATATATAGAATTTAAATAATACAAAATATAAATTATTTTATTGTTATCTAGTGATACTTAAGATTCATGGCCATTTATTTTCTTCCATGATTAACACAAACAATATTGTGTGTAACTGTGTAACAACTTCAAGAATCTTATATGAAGACAGATTATAAGTTTTATAATTAAGTGAAGAAAAGAAATACGTAATCAAGAGGATTTTCTCAATTTATGAGGCTCCCTAAATTTAAAAGCATATCAAGTTTATATTGGATTAGGGGTCAATATTTGCTAAAGGTACCCTTGTTTAGAATAACAAAATAAAAATGTAGCAATTGTTTTATTTGAGTTCAGAATAGGCTACTAAATGATGATGATGATGAAGAAGAAGAAGAAGAAGAATCAGTAGAGTTTAAGAAAATAATTGGGCTGTTTTTAAAAAAAAATCAGAATAGGGATAACATACTGAAAATAATGAGCTACAAGAATTTTAGGTACTACTGAAATATTGTAGTCATTTCAGTGTATACATTCAGTATTCATATAAATGTTTAGTATTAAACACTTTAGTATTTTCCAGTCAGGGCCTTTTATTCCAGCACCGAATACACTATATTTGGCACAATAGCCTCTTTGTGAACATTTTTCATATTGAAATAGCCTAACAGGAAGTGAAACTTCGAGGCAGCAGGAAAAAAAAGCTGAGTTTCACAAATAAATAAATAAATAAATAAAATAACCAAAAAGTAAAAAAAGAAAAGAGGAAGAGGAGCTCCTTTGGAGAGAGAAAGAACCTTGATTTATGATGGACATTCTGGGCTCCATTATGATCATAAGTTGAGGACTACCTGTAAATGCTGATTGATACAGCTGAATAATTCTGCCTATAATTAATCATAAATATTTGGTTAATTTTGAATCATTTGTATTATCTGTGTTTAATAATGAGATAGAGTATATAGACTGTGACTAAGACACAAACTTCTCCTGATGAATTTCCAGATGCTCCAAGTTCTGGACTTGCCAATTTCTGTTGTCCTCATAGTCTTGGTTCCATCGCAAACCTCTGGTTTTCATAGCCATTTAAAAACTCTAATTGTTTAGACAGTGCTGGATGTACAGTGTCCTGTACATAGACTACTGGAGTCTTTAGGCGTAAGAGCTGTGTATAAGTAGAGTTGCTTATTGAAGTATTTTGGAGGTACTGTCCTGGAAATGAGGTACTTCCTAATAGAAAAGTAGTGTGCCTTTCCTCCTATGTTTAACAGTCTTAGTTTCTTGGAGAAAAGTATTTTCCTGTATCATTTATAGATGCCTAATGCTTGGATAGGGAGATATTCATGCCTTGGTCATCTCGTTTGGATTATTATAACATACTGTACATATGACTACTGAAAAGTAACCAGAAGCCCAAAGAAGGGCATTGTAACACCTGTGCTCTGCATTGGGTGCCAGTCTGCTTCTGGATCCAATTCAAAGTGTCAGTTGTGACTGCGTGGCATAAGGCTAGGCTACCTGCAAAAGGTCCCATTACATCTTTCTATCCCACCTGATCAGGCAGGGATAGTATGTTGCTGACCCTGTCGGTTAAAGAACTCTTGAGTGGCAGGGTGTAAGAAGAGACCTTCTCCCATTGCCCCCATCCTGTGGAATATTCTTTTCCCAGAGGTGAAGCAGGCCCCCACTCTCCAACATGTGAGGAGTCCAAAGGAATATGCAGCCATGAAATTAGACCTTCCTTTGCCATTTAACTGATTTTAATAGTGCTGAATCACTTTTGCCTCCTCCTAAATTTCAATTTCAATACATTATTTCTTTGGTTTTTGCATTTCTGAAATGCCCAGAGGAACTTTGGACAGTATACAATAAAATGTTAAAATACAAAACTGAAGAAATAATGTATTGAAATATCAATTTCAATACATTGAAACCAAACTCCAAATGTGCTTAATTGACAAGCAAAATAAACCATAATTTCGTACAGAGATCTCAGACAGAGCTTGCCTCTGTTATTCCTGGATGCTCATACTGTTCAATCCTCCAAGCAATGTGTTTCCCTCCCCACAAAGCTGCTGCTATTATGCAACCCCTGTTGAAAATTAAGACACTACCACACTTCCGTCACCAGATGCTTCTATTTCATTGTTTCTAAAGCCCACAGGCATCCCAATTAAACAGTTTTTTCCACCTCCTCCTCAAGATATAACTGAAGCAATATTCTTGAGTTTGTTTCTTCTGTTTTTGTTTTGACATCTCTTCTTAAAATCTCTACAGAATTTCTTCTCATAGCTTTTGTTGCCTGCTCTACCTTCTTCCTCTCTTCATACCAATTCTTCTGGAGAATGAACATTCCACTCAAATATGTTTTAATTTAATTTGATTTGCCAAAGAAGTGAGCAAGTAGTGGTGATAATGGTGAGATAAAAGTGCTTTTCCATTCTGTTGTATATTTGTAATAGAAACTTAGCTCTACAAGCTTATCTTACAGGATATGCCCATTTAACGCCATAGAGATTGAGAATGTGAAGTACTGAAATCTTTCAATAATACATATAACTTTCTGTTCAGAGACCTCCAAGCACATACTAACAGCTATCAGTATGGGAATTTGCAATCCTATTCTATCAAGTAAAGAGAGTAGGTGCATTTACCAGCATATTTAATACTGATTGGGTAAGGCATGATGTATCCTCCTCTTTGCTATAGCTGGCTTGAATTGTATTTTTTCAGTAACATTTCTTGAATGATTACTTGCCATTTTATCCCATTCAAATTTGTTTGGTATCTTCCCTTGCGGGTTTAGACATTTGTTTTAAAGAATTAGGAAAACTGCAGTATGGCTGGTGATGGAATTATAGCATCAGGAAACCCTAGTAAAAGTTAAATTAGCTCATCTCTGTTTTTCTAACATTATGAGAGCATAATATATCAAACTGAGTTGTATATTTCTTTTATTTATTAGGAAGATGCTATTATATTCTCTAGATTATGAACATCTCATTCAGGAAAAATATTCTTTATTAAGTTATGATTTTAATTAATGAGGATCTATCTTCTTTCTTACTTCTGTCTCATTAATTCTTTAAGAGGGAGGGAAGCTAACATAGTGATCATGAGGTAAGTGAATACTGGCAAATGGGAATTCCACAGGTTCCTCTAATTTGTGTTTACTCTAATGCTAATGGTAACCCTAATGTGAGGAGTAAAATTCACTCAAAGTTGTTGGAATACGAAAGAATTTTATTAAAGCTTTTGCAAAAGCTGGTGGTCCTTAATATACACAGGCAAATGGCCCCACCCAAGTAATGAAAAAGCATACTTTTATAATCATCCTACCCTTGTCAGCTTATGCCACATCATTCATTTCCAGGCCAAGTTGATAGACCCAGTCTGGTCATTTCCGACTGCTGCCCTAGAATCTGTTATGTTTAAAGTTTGGTAAGCTTTTATTGTCACCCAACTTTGCTAAACATTCACCCCTCTCATCTCTTACTTCTTTGATATTCCCTTATCAGTTACCTTGCTTCACAAGAATTATAACATAGCCATAAAAAGAGCATCACTCAAGTAAAAGAAACATTTGAGAAAGAAAGAAAGTTTGGATTAAAGGCATTCTTAGCCTTCCCAAGGTCAGACTTGGCTATTCTCTTTGTTTTTGGAGACTTGAGAGCAGCTAAAAACGTTACAATATATTAAACACTCTCCTGCCATTCTGGTGGAGAGAGAGGGAGAGGGAGGCAGGCAGGCAGGCAGGCAGGCAGGCAGGGAATTATCAGTAAGAAAATGTAAACATGGCTGAAGCAAGGCTATATGTTAAGATACTAACTTTAGGTAATTTGAACAAAGAATAAACCTTATATAAATTGTATAATATGTTTTTAATAAGCTATATGCTAGTCTATATTATGGAAAATTACAGCTTCTTATATTGTACCCCACACTAGGAAGGAGGGAGGAAGCTAATTGTTCTTGCATGCCAATCTCTATTCCACAAATTGTTTCTTCTCCCCTCTTTTCCTCCCCCAATCTTATCCTACAAATAACCTAGAAAGTCAACATTTCCAAGGAAACTCTTAAAAGTAAAATGCATACCTACAATCTTGATAACTAAATTATATATATGTATATGTATATGTATATGTTGTATTTGTGCTGATAAATAAATAAATTTCTGAATCATAAGTAGTATAAATGTAAGACACTCACCCACTTGCTTACAGGATTGCAGAAAGGATTACAGGTAGTCCTCAAGTTACAAATGTAATTGAGCTTGGCAATTATGATTGTAAGTCCCGATGGTGGTAAAGCAGGTCACCATGTGACCGGACTCAATTTTACAACCTTTTTTGTGGCAGTCATTTAGTGAACCCATTGTTCATTCTGGGTTGATTTTTTGCCAGAAACCAGAAGTACATACCAGTTTTTAGCAAAACTGTTGTAAATTGTAGTCACATGACTATGAGTCACAGCATACGTCCATAAATGTGAACCAAGTGCCAAAATGTGGTCATCTGACTGCAGGAGGGGTTGACACCAGAACTTTGAAACTAGGTCGTAAGTCCCTTCTGGGGAGGGGGGTGTCATAACTTTGAATGGTCACTAAAAAACTGGTCATAAATCGGTGACCCCTTGTATTCCTCAAGGTGACTGCCACAAAGGAAGACCTATTGACTCACCCAAGCCCTATGAATCTCATTAAAGGAGACATCTTTCAGCCCACTTGCTTCTGATCATGGATAATAAACAGGCTGCTTGTATTCTGACAAATCATTATATCCTGATTCTGTGACATTTAGGGCTTTAAAGAAACATCCAACACTTTAGCTCCATATAGAGTAGAGCATTCTGATCCAAGTGGGGTCATAATTAGAATAACAGCTAAAGCTGTGGTTCCCTTAACCACAACTTCTAGCTACTGTTCAAGTAAGAATTCCACATCCAGGAGTGCCTCTGAGTCTGTATTAAAGGGCAAAAAGGGTTAAACTGGTTCTTATTTTTTTTCCTTTAAAAAAAAATACAACTTCAGGATAAACTAAAAGATTGTGAGGCCACTGAAGATCTTCTCAGTCAGATCGTCTCTATTTTGTCTCCTGGAGTATCCACAGAAGATAAAACATCATCTTGTAACGCAGACGTCCTTCAAAACATTGAGGAGAAAGATTCTGTATTGGTATGAAGGCTTCCTTTATTTTGCTAAGGAATTGTTTTTTCATAACATGTTAGTCTAAATAAGTAACATAACTTTTCTTTGTTGTCAAAGATGTTTACATTCAGTTACTTACTGTATTTTTTGGAGTATAAGACACACCTTTTTTCCTAAAAAAAAAAAGAGGCTGAAAATCTGGGTGCATCTTATACATCGAATACAGCATTTTTTGCCTCCTGAAGCCTCACCCCCTTTACCAAAATGGCCATACATACCCTTATGGAGGCTTTCAGAGAGCTCCTGGGGGCTGGGGAGGGCAGAAATGAGCAAAAAATGGGCCGTTTTTTGCCCCCCCCCAGCAGCACTCTATAAACCTCCATAAGGCTATGCATGCAATTTGTTTGACAAAAAACAAATTTTTGCAAAAAATGGGATGTTTTTTTGCTCATTTTTGCCCCCACAGGAGCACTCTGCAAGCCCCCCCCCCGGCTATTCATGTCTTTTTTTTAAAAAAAAAAAGGGCCCATTTTTGTGAAAAACGGGCCCTTTTTGGGAGGTTTGCAGAGTGCAAAACCTTTTTTCTTTTCTTTTGGAAAGCTCTTTAACTGATCGATGAGAATTACATTGATGAAGTGCTGTGCCAGCAGAAAGAAAGTCTTAGTTGCTGCAGATTGTCAGCAATTTCCTTCTCCAGCACATAGTTAAATACAGCTGGAAACCTCTACCTACCTACCTACTCTTTCTCTCTCCCTACCTATCTACTGTATTTCTCTCTCTCTCTCTATCTCTTTCTATTTCTCTCTCTCTCTATCCCTCTACCTACCTACCTGCACACACACTCTCTCTCTCCCTACCTACTGTATTTCTCTCTGTCTCTGTTTCTGTGTCTCTCTCTCTCTCCCCCTCCCTCCCTTTACCTACCTACCTAACTACTCTCTCTCCCTACCTATCTGCTGTATTTCTCTCTCTTTCTCTCTCTCTATCCCTCTACCTACCTATTTACTTTTTTTAAAAAATTGCCTCTTCAAAACCTTGATACGTCTTATACTCCGGTGCATCTTATACTCCGAAAAATACGGTATTTGCCAAAAAATCTAGGAGTACTTCCATAAGTTTGCACTTTTTGTTTTTCATTGGTCTGTGTTTGTGAGGCTGGTTATTTTGTCTGTTCCCCTGTAAGAGTACAGGTTGCCATGATTAGAAATACTCCATGGGTGGGCAGTCTTAATTTAGATTTCTGAATTAAGCTAACTTTGCTGGATGAGTTTAAACAACAAATTGCTCTGGGCATATTGAAAAACACATTTGCCAGATCCATTTTAAAGCAAAATCGGTTGAAGCTTTGTGAGGTTTCTGTGGATATTTGAGCTAATTTTTAATATGGGTAGTAGTAAATATCTATTACTTGCTTTTATTAATGAATCAATTATTTAAATGATTAAAAATATTTTTCTATCTTTTTTATAATTGATATTGAGGAATAGTGGAAAATACATTATTTACAAAAAAAAATTTTTTGTTGTTGTTGCATGTGTCATTGAGGGATTGTCCCTTGTTTTCTCTTTGGTCAATACCTGATTCTTCCCAATTCTCAAACTTCAATCTTTCTTTTCCCTGCAACAGCAAGCCAGTCAGTCTGCACAAGATTCCAGCCATGTTTTTTCACCCCCAGCTGTAGAAATACCATTCCTGTCAGAGAATGCTAATGACCATCAGTCTGAGAGAAGCAAAGACATTGAGCTGGCATTAAATTATTGTTTTATTCTTGCTGCATAAATATTAATTTTAATCATGAATAAGAAATTACATTCTGCTGCTGTTGTGTTTCTGCATCACTTGTACCTAGATTTCTAAGTGATATCTCCCCCTTGAACTATACCAATGAATACTGTATTTGTTGAATCAGAATAGAGCTGGAAGCAACCTTGGAGGTTTCTAGTCCAACCCCCTGCCCAAACAGAAAACCCTATACCATTTCAGACAAGTGAGTGTCCAGTCTCGTCTTAAAAACCTCCAATGATGAAGCACCCACAAGGTCTGAAGACAAGCTGTTCCATTGGCTAATTGTCCTCATTGTTAGGAAGTTTCTTCTCAATTCCAGGTTACTTCTTTCCTTGATTAGTTTCTTGTCCTGCCCTCTGGTGCTTTGGAAAATAAATTGACCCTCTTTTCTTTGTGGCAGCCTCTCAAATACTGGAATACTGCTATCATATTCCCCACTCGACCTTCCTTTTTCTAGACTAGCAAAACCCAAATCCTTCAACCGTTTGTCATATGTTTTAGCCTCCAGGCCTTTAATCATCTTAGTTGCTCTTCTTCACACTGTTTCCAAAGTTCTCAATATCTTTTTTGTAATGTGGTGACCAAAACTGGATGCAGTATTCCAGATGTGGTCTTACCAAGACTTTATAAAGTGGCACTAATACTTCACATGATTTTGAGTATATGCTCTGTTTAGACATCCAAGGACTGCATTAGCTTTTTTGGCTGCTGCTGCACACTACTGGCTCATGTTTAAGTGATCATCCACTAAAACTCCAAGGTCCCTCTCGCAGTTACTGTTTTGAGCCAGTTTAGGTTTTCAAACTCAGAGAATAATCTTTTGCACAGATTTGGACAAGAGTTGATATAAAACATGCTTGACTTCTCATCCATCTTTCAATATCTGTGTAATTGGCAAATTAAACATTATGTCAAATATCTTTGTTTTGAGACTACAACTACAATTGAACCCAATATTTTCATTGCTAAGCAAGACATTCATTAAGTGAGTTGTGCCCCATTTCACGATCTTTTTGCCACCATTGTTAAATGAATCGCTCCAGTTGTTAAGCAGGTCTGGCTTACTCCATTAACTTTGCTTGTTTTAAAGCCAGTGGGAAGGTCACAAACTGTGATCACCTGACACAGGATGGTGCAACTGTCAAAAATACATGCCAGTTGCAAAGTGTTTAAATTTGACCACATAGCTATAGGGTTGCTGCAACAATCATAAGTGTGAAAAGCAGTCCTAAGTCACTTTTTTCAGTGCTGCTGTAAATTCATATGGTCACTAAACAAATGGTTGTAAGTTGAGGACTACCTCTAGCTCTTCTACAACCCTACGCTGTCCAGATGTGCTTGATTAAAGAGTTTAGGGAATTACCGCAGGTAAAGTGCAACATAAATAGAAGCTTTCAGACTGATGAAGACAACTCAGCAAGAACAGCATTTATTCTGCACTCAAGTTGTTGAAATTTTATCTTCATGCCTTCCAACTTGGAGACAGAAAATTAAGATTCCCTTAAAATATTAAAGCTCTTGCGTTACTCTTATCTCAATTGTACTCATAATCTTTAGTGCAGATATTTCCTTGTCTTTGGTTACATTGAATAGGATTTATATGGGTTAGACAACATCCAGAAGATCACCTTTGGCTTATTATTAAGTTGTTATCTTACCAGTTATAAAATATATTTTAATTTGTGAAGTATACTAGTTAAAATCCAGTAAAATATTTTGTATTTTAAAGCAGTGTTTCTCAACCTTGACCAGTTGAAAATGGGTGGACTTCAATTCCCTTACTTTGCTGGCAGGGGAATTCTAGGAGTTGAAGTCGCATCTATCTTCAACTTGCCAAGGTTGAGAAACTCTGTTTTAACATATATCCTCACTGCTTCTCAAAAGATTGATGGAAATTGCATCCTGGAGTCTGATTTTATTGAAAAGTATGTCTCTGATTGGAGTAAGTCATCCACGTCTTCCTTAGACAAGAGGGTTATGATGTATCTTGTAAAACTAACGTAGAAAAATTATTTATTAGATGCTGTGTATAACCGATTTATTAATATACCACTAAATTGTGGTATTTCTACTATTTAAGCCTGTTGCCCCTTCCCACCTGATCCATATTTTTTATCATGAAAGCAGCATACTGTTTTGACAAACACAGAAGTTATTTGATCAGAGGAGACTCCAACAATTAGTTTGTGGACCAGCTGATTATTTTATTATAAAAGTCATACCTGTAACACAGCTTTGCATTTCAGTTGGCCTCTGCAGAATGCACCTGAACCAGTTCCTTCACTCTAGAGAAGAAATATATGTAGTTGAGATTGAAAGTATTCAGGAATTCAGGGACATAGAAAGAAGCAAATTCTTAAAGGGGATGAACAATGATCCTCAAAATGAACAAACTGATGATCCAGGTGTGTGTAGTAACAGATCCATTGATTTTGCTTCGCAAAATATTCTAATTCCGCTTCTGTTTTAAATTGATGCAGACTGAAACTTCAGCCAAGCAGAATGATACAGACCACTGTCAAGCTTGTGTTGCTCCAGCTCTTGATTCTTCCAGCCTTCCAAGTACCCCCATTGATGTTCACTGTAAGCCTGTGCTAGTCACAGAAAAAGATAATGAATTGGTAAGAATGGGGAAACTCTTTCTATATATTTTCCTTGGAAATATAAGTCCATTCAATTTGGAATCTGGAATTTATTTGTGACTATGGGAATTTTGGTTGTCACTTCCACTTATGACTAAAAATCTGCTTCCCAAAATGTTTGATTTTGTTTTAAATTGATGTAGATTGAAACTTCAGCCAAGCAGACTGATATAGATGACTCTCAAGCTTATGCTGTTGCTCCAGCTCTTGATTCTTCCAGCCTTCCAAGTACCCCCATTGATGTTCACTGTGAGCCTGTGCTAGTGAGGGGAAATGATATTGGACTGGTAAGAATGGGAAAGCCCTGTGCATATATTTTCCTTGGAAATATAAGTCCATTCAATTTGGAATCCAGAATTTATTTGTGACTATGGGAATGTTGGTTGTTCAATTCTACTTATGTCTAAAAATCTGCTTCCCAAAATATTCTAATCTTGATTTTGTTTTAAATTGTTGTAGATTGAAACTTCAGCCAAGCAGACTGATACAGATGTCTCTCTAGCTGATGTTGTTGCTCCAGTTCTTGAATCTTTCAGCCTTCCAAGTACCCACAATGATACTCACTGTGAACCTGTGCTAGTGCGAGAAAAAGATAATGGATTGGTAAGAATGTGAAAGCCCTCTGCATATATTTTCCTTGAAAATATAAGTATGTTCGATTTGGAATATGGAAATTATTGTGACTATACAGGAATTTAGGTTGTTTAATTCCTCTTATGTCTGAAAATCTCCTTCCCAAAATGTTCTAATCTCCATTTGGTTTTAAATTGATGTAGACTGAAACCTCAACCAAACAGAATGATACAGGTGACTCGCAAGCTTACGCTGTTGCTCCAGCTCTTGAATCTTTCAACCTTCCAAGTACTCCCATTGATGTTCACTGTGAGCCTGTGGTAGTCACAGAAAAAGATAATGAACTGGTAAGAACTGGAAAGCCCTCTACATATATTTTCCTTGGAAATATAGGTATGTTCAATTTGGAATCTGGAAGTTATTTGTGACTACAGGAATTTAGGTTGTTCATTTCCTGTTATGTCTGAAAATCTGTTTCCCAAAATATTCTAATTCTACTTTTGTTTTAAATTGACGTAGACTGAAACTTCAGCCAAGCAGAATGATACAGGTCACTCTCAAGCTTATGCTGTTGCTCCAGCTCTTGATTCTTCCAGCCTTCCAAGTACCCCCATTGATGTTCACTGTGGGCTTGTGCTAGTCATAGAAAAAGATAATGAATTGGTAAGAATGGGGAAAATCTTTGTATATATTTTCTTGAAAATATAGGCAGGTCCAATTTTGAATCTTGAATTTATTTGTGACTAGAGGAATGTTGGTTGTTCAATTCCTCTTAGGTCTGAAAATCTGCTTTCCAAAATGTTTTAATCTCCATTTTGTTTAAAATTGATGTAGACAGAAACTTCAACCACACAAAATGATACAGATGACAGTAACGTTGTTACTCCAGCTCTTGATTCTTCCAGCCTTCCACGTACCCTCAATGATATTTGCTGTGTACTTGTGCTAGTGAGAGGAAAAGATACTAGTGTCAAGCCTGCAGCAGTTTTTTTAAAAATTTTTGGCCTGCCACCCCCTTATTAAGGGGGGGGGGGGGAGGTTAGCAAGGGGTAGAATGTGTTGCTTTCAAAATAAAAAGTTCCTTCCTAGAAGNGGCTTCACTCTTTCACAAGCAGCTGAGTAATCTACAAAGCTATTGATAACTGACTGACAACAATCCATGATTAATTGCCGGGTGGTTTTCATTCTGGGTTATGAGGGGATGGGTCTGCGCACGTGCAGGGTGCAGGTTATCCTAATTACTAAGTAACTATAAAAGGTGTTGGGGAGCACCAGGTGGCAGCTCTGACAATTTATTCATTGCCTTAGTGCTTTGTTGGTCAGTTCGTGCTGGAGGAAGAATACAAACTGCATTTACAAACCGTTTCTGTTTGGCTGTTTTCATTAACCCTTCGGAACCTGACAGTTTGTCAGAGCTCTCACCAGAGCTTACACCATGGCTGAAGATACAGTGCTTGGGTTGGAGGCTGTGGGCTTGGAGGAGTCTGCCATGGCAACTGATACAACTGTGCTGGAGGCTGTGTCAGGGCCAGCAGGAGAGGCATCATTGGATGTAAGGTCTAAGGACCACTTGGTGGCATGGAAGCCTACAGCAGAACCTCTAGAGGCCGATGTGGGCCAAGCCCATGCAAGGAATTGGTGTCTGGGCTTGCCAGCAGCTCAGGACAAGAGAGGCTTACCACCCCATGCTCCCCAGCTCACCTCTTCTGGAACCCATTTCGCCCAATGGTGTGACAGGCACAGCTCAGATGACGATTGGAGTTACACCACCACGGTGGACAACACAACTCTACAGATGCTGCAGGAAAGGTTTGGGTCAGTGGGCTTCTGAGATAATGGACGTGGCAGTGGTTGGAGAGATAATGTGGCATGGTCCCTGGAACATGGATCCCAACAGGCAAGGGGAGTCATTGGACAGTCCAGCATAACCAATCCAGAACGGTATGGTGTCCAAGGAGCAGCAACAGTAGGAGAGCAGCAGCCTGGGCTAGGTTTACCCCAAGCTGCCAGGGACACCTGCGGGAGAAGAGCTGTGTGAGAGAACTATGCACCTCACCCTCTCCTTACCCAGAGGGGGTCTCCAGCTGGTTATGGACCCGGAGTGATGGGATGCTGGTACAAGCTACTTTTGACGGTAGCCCAGGATGAGTTGCCCTCTTCTTAGGCCAGTTGTTAAATCACATGGATTGTTACGGCCATATGTATATGTCACAGTGGGCTATGGTGATGGTCGTGATGGCAGTGGTGGACGCAGAGGTGCTGACTGGGTGACTGATCTGTATTGGGATCATGCTGTGGAACTCACGGACATTGGTCTGTTCCTGATAGCACTGCAGGAGAGCTTTGAAGATTTGAAGAGCATTACTTTACTCTTGACCGAACACTATGCTGGTCCTACAGAGGGTTGCCACCTAGACTGACTGTATGGTTCCAGGCCACCACGGAATTAGCTATAGAGTTCCACGAGGATAAGCCAGGAAGGGAGAGGGGTAGGCAAGGACAAAGACTGCAACAGATGCATCGTATCAGAGTTGCCCCCAAACCCCCACAACCCACAGTGGTTTCCATGGGGCAACCTCCATTCCCGATGGCAGCTGGACTGTCAATGCCCATCCAGAAACCCATAACATGTTTTCTATGCAGGAGGCCAGGGCATAGAGTGGCAGTCTGCCATGAGATCGGTCCTACAGTGTCCATGAGCACACCAAGGGGACGGCCAAGAAGAGCATGAGGGGTAGCCAGGAGAAGTCACATGGGGCGAATCAACCAGTTCCTATACCAGTTGACTCCAGCCCATCAGGTGATATGCTCAATACGGGAGAAAAAGGATGGCGGCTTACGCCTCTGTGTTGACTTTTGGGGCCTTAATGCTGTCTGTGTGGAACATCTGTACCCTTACCCTTTAACGAAGGACATGTTGGCTAGGTTAGCATAGGAATGCATATTCACGAAATTAGATCTCAGGGAGGCATACTATAGGGTATGTATTCGGGCTGATGACGAATGGAAGTCAGCTTTTAATTGTCCTCTAGGCAGTTACCAGTTCCGGGTTATGCCCTTCGGACTGCAAGGAGCCTCAGCGGTGTTCATGCAGCTAATTAACGAAGTGCTGCATGAGCATCTGTATCAAGGAGTACTCGTCTATTTAGACGATATTCTTATATATCAAGTTCATGGAGGAACATGTAGTTCTTGTACGTCAAGTGCTTAAAAAGCTGCTGGACGCACATTTATACATCAAATTGTCTAAATGTGAATTCCACAGAACACAACTGGATTACCTTGGGTTCCATATTTCACCTAAAGGGGTGGAGATGGACCCTGCGAAGGTAAAGGTGGTATTGGACTGGCAGGCTCCTAAAACCCACAAGCAGTTGCAGAGTTTTTTAGGGTTTGCCAATTTCTATTGCCAGTTCATCCCTTCCTTTGCCCAAGTGGCCCTTCCACTAACCGACCTCTTACGTACAAAACATCTCATGACAAACCCTTGACTGGGAAGCCCAGTTGTGTGGACAACAGCATGTCAGCAAGCATTTTAGCACCTGAAGTCCTTGTTTGCACAAGAGCTGGTACTGAAACATCCAGAGCCCACTAAGCCATTTGTGATTCAGGCAGACGCCAGTGATGTGTCGGTGGCTGCAGTCCTCTTACAAAAGAACAATGACGGAGTCCTACAGCCGTGTGCCTACACCTCGAGGAAGTTGACAGGGACTGAACGCAACTGGCCCATTGGGGAGAAGGAGGCGTTTGTAGTCTGGTGGGCCCTGTTGACATGGCAGCATTTACTAGAAGGGGGAGGGATACCCTTTGAGGTCTTGACGGACCACAAGAATTTGGAGGCCCTCCAGACCCCATGAAGATTGTCGCCAAAACAAGTTAGATGGGCCTTGCATTTCAGTGATTCAACTTCCAATTAAAATATATACTGGGGGCAAGAACTACTTAGCCGATGCCCTCTCCTGCAAACCACAGTATCTTCATAAAAGGGAGGATTTA